TCTATATATTGTCGTTGGATATTAAGAATGTCAACCTGACTGATCATTGTCGTACGATCCATGGATTGTGTATGTTGTGTGGCATGCTTTTGCATGTAAGGTGAACCACATCCTAACACTGGGGCGTCACAAAGGTGTGATTACAGGTTCGAATACCCGAATACGAACGTTTTCTGATAGCGTGTTGTCGCAGCGTCACTGTGTACTAAAGTTAAGGGACGTGTACCTAATGATTACAACTTTGGGATATTTGTATAGTATTAGAGGTGTGGTTGAGGGTGCTTTGAGTGTTTACTTGCACACATGCCTCATGCACAAAACGCGTAAATACTACTCTTCATCTGTATCTGAGAAGTGGGACGAAAATGCGCATCTACGCAAACTCGCGTTAAGCATATATCCAGAAACAAACGCAAGTTTTGTGACAAACATACACAAAGATGAACTACACACACACAGATAAACAGAACATGCACATGCATACACGCACATGACACTCGCCAGAATGCATGAGTGCACACACGACCACAATGTGCCTACGCGGGGAACACGGTGATCGGGAAGGAGCAAACGAGCACGGGGGCAAAATGTCACACTTAGACACGCACAGCAGAAGAAGCAGGCGTTGTAGAGGTGGCGTTGTAGAGTTAACGTTGTAAAGGTAGCATTATAGAGGTAGCGTTGTACAGGTAGCGTTGTACAGGTAGCGTTGTACAGGTAGCGTTGTACAGGTGACGTTGTAGAGGTGACGTTGCAAAGGTAGCGTTGTAGAGGTGACGTTGTAGGTATCGGTGTAGAGATAGAGTTGCGGAGGTAGCGTTGTAGAGGTGGCGTTGTAGATGTAACCTTGTTGAGGTAGCGTTGTAGAGGTGGCATTGTTGAGGTGGTGATATAGAGGTGATGTTATAGATCTAGCCTTGTTGGGGTAGCGTTGTAGAGATGGCGTTGTAGGGATAACGTTGTAGAGGTAGTGTTGTAGTGGTGGTGTTGTAGAGATGTTCTCACGCACGGCTCAGATATAGAGCTGCACAAAGAGTAGAGACACAACGTACCTGGCTCTACCGAGTTCACGCATGCCTACGATGCGCGCCACCATCAAGTTGACTGTGCAAGTGCAATGGGGGATGTGTGGGTGTGATGAGTATATAGTCACAGGTGGTCTATATTTGTGTTGTGCAGATGTGTGTAAATGTGTGGTGGTAGGTAGCCATTGAGTTCTGCATAGACATCTGAAGGTGTGTGGTGTATGGGCAGCAATGGATATATGCATAGATGTCTGTGCGGAGCGGTTTGTTAGGAGTCTCGGTCATTGTAGTCAGCGCTATAAGGAATGGCTCACTGTCTTCGCTGCCAACCCACAGATACAGTCACAGACGGGCTATCGCTTAACCAACCCGCACGTATGTACATCCGTCGCACACACACCACACGCCTGGCCGCATGATTTATGTGCACAAACCAAAGCCGACGGTAGCAAGTACTCACACTTAACGAGTAGCACGGCCCGTTAAGGTAGACGTACCAGCGAACGCGCTGAATGCAGCATTGGTCAGCATGAACCCAGCCTCTCCAGTGGTGATGTCATTGCGAGACATCACAATGGCCAGTGCCACCCCAACATTGAACACACATCCCGCGGCATCGGCAAGACTCGCAGTGGTTGCCATGGCAACACTCACAGCAGCTGAGGCGTTGGTGTACTCGTCCAGACAACGGCCAAACTTACGCAGTAACGTCTCCTGTGGATACGAAACAGGTGGTTGATCACATGAGAATGCGCATGCACATGGGCCGTAGAGGTGTCTGCGGACGAGACACAGTCTACGGTATGTTGAACGCAATGTAATTCCACGGGCGACTGTGAAAGGCAACCCAACGCACAGAAAACATCACAGGCACGCATGCACACTCGGCTGCGGCAGACACTGTCAACGACGTCACTTGCGACAGCCAGACTCTAAAAGACGGTAGGAGACATACAGCTCACATGGCTAGTACACTCCATCGCACGTTACCTGGCAACCAAAGGCTCTGATGGTGGGGCGCCCACTGTCTGTGTCTGTGATGCACTGCACCACCGGTTGTTTGGTGCGTGACAGCCACACTCTGCACCGCTGAGACTTGTGGCGGTGCATTCGCAACAGATAGTGTATGCTCACTGCCCCCAAACGCAATGCAAACGGGTCAGTGTTATGCAGGTGACCATGACGTACACCAGAGCATATACATCGTAAAAGAATTCCAAGCATTTATACACACGGAATGTATGCTTCCCAGTACGCAGCTCAGAAGTGTTGTAGACCAATAGACACAACATAACATGTACATACGACATACAGCATGATGAAATCCACGGCAGAAAGCAATACTACACGGTATGTCGTACTAACCAACGTATTTATGTGCCATGACGACCAGACCTACCGCTGGAAACAAGGAAGGAGACCAGTGTCCAGGGCAGTACAACGGCTGTGGCTGTTGCTATGGTAACCCAATAGCTGACGGGGATCAGCAGATACTCCACTCCCATGAACATTCCGCGATCGATGCGTCTGTGATCTCTGGCAAACAGATCCAGCACATACGTCGCAGTGGTCGTCCCTGTGGGGTGGACACGAAGTACAATGCCGAGCATTGTGCGGTAGATAGACAGCAATCAGAAGCCAATGATGAGTGCGGCAGAAAGTATAAAGAAATAGATGGCATGCAGATAACATGCAGCTGAAGGAAGTGGCACGCGCGTCAAACACGCGACACGTGTCAGGTGTTGTGTTACGTGTCGTGTCGTGTCGTGTCGTGTGCGCTGTGCATGTTTCACAAGTGTCGGACTACAAGACAGTATGTGTTGATAGTAAGCGCTCATTTGCCACTGATATGCGCCTGAGTTGCTCCGTCGGCTAATTGCTTCGACGCGATATCTACTTCAGATACACATCTCGTAGAGGAGGCACGCTACAACCCATTGCCGACAAAGTGAAGTCGTCTGATCGGGCGACATGACCGTTGACACGCATTGGTAATAAATGGGAGCACACACTGGAGATGGTCTGTAGACACAATAATACCGTCTTTGTATAGTCCTAGTCGTCACGTACAGTCTATCCCCGCAATTACCAAGAGTCACGAGCAGCACGCAGGACTCGCTTGTGTGGCTACTCTTGCATACACCTTCTGTGGTTATGACTGTGCCATCGGGGCTGTCTCCCTTTTGATGTCGCATGCATACCAATCCACCAAAACCCTAAAACCTTATACACCACAAGGCTAAGCCTGTGGATGGTATGTACCTCCGACGTCCCAGGGTTGTCTGTTGCAACCGTTCCTTTGTATTCCACTGAATGCACGTCTCTCGTATACGCACTTGCAAAGCAGCGTGGACTGTAGTTTCAGCATCTTGATCGAGACTTCATCACTGAACTCAGTACCACCACACATAAGCAGAGTACGACGCACGGGCGGGCGTACACACCAAATAATACGCTTAGGCAGACTTGTAAGTTAATACATTAGTAAAACCATATCCCTCATGTGTTAAATACGACAGCATAAAATACCACACCTGTCGTAAAATAGGACAACGGCACACCCTGCACCATGTCTACCAACTGGCGGTGCAGGCGATCGGCGGTGTGCACTGTGGTTATACCTACCACCACCTGAGAACACATGAATGAACACAGATCACAAGTGAGATGATTGCGAATTTCGGAGATGCAAACAACGGAAGCTGCGTCAAGATGGCAGTGAGCATATTCGAGCGCAAGACGAAATGTTCTATAGAGTCAACAAGAACAAAGTAAATACGAACAGCGTGAAAAAGAACAAAGTAAAGAAGTTTTTCTGCTCAATAGTTAAAGGCGTGAAGTGCAACAGATACGTAGCACATATCATGTATACATTTATATCATGAACAGGTGCCCACTACTCGCGCATCGCTAAAAGTGTTTGCATTCAGTATACGACTGAAGGACTTACATTCCGTATCTAGTTGCCATATTTCCTCTCAACACCCCATTCGTGAACGTACAGATGGGTCTACATCTAATGCCATTTGAGCACCGACTGGTTTTCAACTCGCAACACTCACATACACCACATCGTATCATCCTACCTGGCGCACATAGGCCACGAGCATCTCAGCCACCACCAGAGCGGCGTAGTGCACAACATAACGCTGATTCGCACCGTCGGTTATTGTACCGCTTTCTCCCTCATCAGTCCATGTGGCGAGCAACCACAACTGGTATTCGGAAACGGCTTCCTCTACTAAAAGCGTAAAGACTATTAATAGCAGCCAATGATATCCGCCCACGGCTCTGGACAGGTGGCCAATCATTCTGTGCTGTGTCTTGCCAGAATCATTGCTCTCTTCAGCAGAGTGGATGCTTTTACCCTCCTGTGTGTGAGCAGTCCGCCCAAACTCATCTGTATGTGTATGCACACAGGAACGTCTGGGTTTGTCAGTTACACAGAAATCAGTACTCCTAAACGATATGCCTACACGATATGCATTTGATATGATTGCCCTACGCGCTTATGAATAATTGAATCTGACAGTATATGTCCTAAGGCCGTTGTGATGTGCAGTGGTTGCCCCATGATACCATACTACAGGCAAACGCACAAATCATTCTACAGCACTATTTGCTACAGCGCTTATATTATATATATATATATACATATATATATATTATATATATATATTATATTAATAATAATTACTATATATAATAGTA